CAAAATTACCTTTAAATTGAAAGAAACCTGAAAATAGTAATAAACTAAGATGGAAAAACACCAAAGAGATAATAATAAACCATAAAAGAGCAAGGAAGCTTAAGGATGGAGAAGACTGAAATGTATTTTAAATGACAAAATGGAAAAAATTGGGCTAGACTTTTCAAGATGCGCAAACTGTGATGTAACTCCTTTAAGTGTCAGTAAATGGGATCAAGTGTCAAAAGCTATTACACCTCTCAGGATCAAAAACTATTTTCGTCTGAAAAAGTCTGTCCTACAAAATTTACTGTCAATTGCAACATTTGAAAGTTCTCAACTGGTACTTCCAGTTGGAATGGTTAACACTGTTATGCTATGCAAGTGAATATATAAAAGATCATATATTTGAACTGCGGAGAAAGATATGAAGACATGATTGATCATCGCAGTTATACACACAATTTAGGCAGTTGTGAAATTAAAGCCTGAAAAAATTCAGGCCTGAACAGGATTTGAACCCATGACCTCTGCGATACCAGTGCAGTGCTCTACCAACTGAGTTATCACGCCAACAGGGAGCTGATCACATAGCAAGTTCGTTATATACCCGTAGATGGTGAAGAATGCAAGTGAATATATGAAAGANTTAAGAATAGTTTTCAGTTTCACATGCACAATAATTGTCTGGAAATAGGAAATGACGAGAGAACCATGCAGGTTTCCAATAGGACAACTGAGTGGCTACTAAAGAGGATTGCATAGGGCTTACTCGTGACATGATGAAAGCAAAAACTATACATGATGCATGAAAAGCAACTAAAAAATATATTATGTGATTTATGAATTTCTGAAAAAAAACACATTCCTGAAAGAGCTAAAAGTACACCTTTTGCTGTTCATTTACAGAAAATATCCATTCATTTGTGTTCAAATTAGTTTCATTATGGTTAATATACTCTCATTAACACCAATATGACATTCATTTGCACATAAGGAACCTTCAAGAATAACATTTGCATATGTATTAACATTCAAAATCATCAAAAGATAACCAATATCTTCCCTTGACATTCATTGGCTGTAAATGTATTTTCATTTTTGTCGAATTAAAATTCGTCACGAAACGACAATCATGTACACTTTTGGACAATCCTTTTTCAACCAAAGACTTTCAATAACAGAATTTGCATGAGCACTCACAATCAACTGCATTATTATACAACCATATCCGTGAAGGTGACTATCTTTAGTA